CTCATAGTGACCCTGTACAGGGTTTCCAAGGAGCAGCTGGTGAGTTTGAACCCCCAACCTTTTGTTTCAAACCGACCTTGCGGTCCAGTGCTTTCTCCTACGGTGCCACACCAGGACTCCTTAGTCTTATTGCTGTTGTGAAGTGCCGTCAAGTCAGTTCTGACCCATAGCTAACCTGTATAGGGTTTCCGAGGAGCAGCTGGTGAGCTTGAACCACCAACCTTGCAGTTCAAACAGCTTTGCAGTCTGACACATTAACCCACAGCACCACACCAGGACTCTGGCAATCACATTGTTTTTGTTGTTGTTGTTAGGTGCCACTGAGTTGGTACCAACTCATAGTGACCCTATGCACAACAGAACGAAATACTGCCCAGTCCTAGACCAACCTCACAATTGTTGCCACACTTGAGCCCATATTATGCTGCCATATTACCAATCCGTCTCGTTGGGGGTCTTCCTCTTTTTCTCTGACCCTCCACCTTACGAAACATGATATCCTTCTCTAGTGACTGGTCCTTCCTGACAATATGTTTGAAGTATGAGAGACGAAGTTTGGCTATCCTGGCCTCCAAGGAGCACTCTAGCTGCACTTCTTCAAACACAGATCTGTTGGTTCTTTTGGCAGTCCATGGCACTTTCAATATTCTCCTCCAACACCATAATTCAAAAGCATCAATTCTTCTACAGTCTTGTTTATTCACTGTCCAGCTTTCGCATGCACATGAGGTTATTGAAAATAACAGGGCTTGAATTAAGCGCACCTTAGCCCTCAAGCTGACATCTTTGTTCTTCAACATTTTAAAAAGGTCTTGTGCAGTAGATTTGCCTAATGCAATACGTTGTCTGATTTCTTGACTGCTGCTTCCATGAACGTTGATAGTTGATCCAAGAAGAATGAAGTCTTTGACAACTTCAATCTTTTCTCCGTTGATAAGAACATTGTTTATTGGTCCAGTGGTGAGGATTTTTGTTTTCTTTACATTGAGATGCAATCCATACCAAAGCTTGTGCTCTTTGATCTCCATCAGTAAATGTTTTAAGTCTTTTTCACTTTCAGCAAGCAAGATTGTATCATCTGCATATCTCAGGTTGTTAATGAGTCTTCCTCCACTCCTGATGCCACGTTTTTCTTCATAGAACCCAGCTTCTCGGATTATTTGCTCAGCATATAGGTTGAATAAGTATGGTGAAAGAAAACAACTCTGTCACACACCTTTCTCCATTTGAAACCATTCAGTGTTCCCATGTTCTGTTCAAACAACTGCCTCTTGGTCCAGGTACAGATTCCTCATAAATATAATTAAGTGTTCTGGAATACTCATACTTCTCAATGTTTGTTGTCCATAGCTTATCATGATCCACACAATCGGAAGCCTTTGCACAGTCAATAAAACACAGGTAAACATCTTTCTGATATTCTCTGCTTTCAGCCAAGATCCATCGAACATCAGCAATGATATCCCTCATTCCACGGCCCCTTTTGAATCTGGCTTGAAGCTCTGGAAGTTCTCTGTCAATGTATGTTTGCAGCCATTTCTGTATTACCTTAAGTGAAACTTTACTCGCATGGAATTTCAAAGATATTGTCTGATGATTTCCATGATTAAAGTAGATAGTAAAAATTACTAAGGCTTTTCTATGGTCAGGCATGGGTGGAGATCCATGGTGGGGGAGGGGCGTGGTGACAACACGTTACCACACTGGGTGACATCAGCCCCAGTAATATCACATATGTTCTAGAGAGAGAATTAGACTTAGAGGGAGGTAGCCCCAGAATGCTTACCTACTTATTTCTTCCTTATATACATTCTGAAACTGATCATAGGATTTGCAATGCTGACAGTTGAAAGGGTGGTAGGAAAAGAGTGAAGCTTGGTACAATGGTAAGTACATGGGCTTTGGAATTACAGTGTCTGGTTCTACCACTTACTAGCTGTGTGATCTTGGGAAAGTTACTCAACCTCTGAGCCTTGGTTTCCTCAGCTACAAAACAAGGTCTAATCATCAATAGGCACGAAGTCGATCCGCAGTCAGCACTAACAATGCCCAATTGTAGACGATGCCCAATTGTGGAAAGTTCACAGGGGCATTTTGTACAGTGTCTCACATTCTAGGCTCAGGGCTTGGTTAGTTTTTGAAGCCTGGAAAGAACTAGAGAAAATCCTGCAGATGATTCCTCCGCTTGCCCTCGTCTGTCTCACCAGAATGAGGACTGGATTTGAGTAATGCCAAATCAGAAAGTGGGCTGAGGAGAATGCAGATGACCTGAGTGAGGACAGATCAGGGAAGACATGAGAAAGAGGTTAAGCCAATCCACAGAAGCAAGAGTTACAAGAGACAAAAAGGAAAGGGCATGGTGCCAAGAGGGCAATGCGGAACATCTGTTGGTTTTGTCCTCTGTGCAGATCCAGGAATTGTGGGAGGAGATCAAACAAAGCAAAAGAGTATTGTCATGGATCATGAATTGAATTCCCTCAATGTCGTTCAAGAGCAAAGAAGCCATTCTTTTACAATTGCTCTTGGACTGTGCTTTTAAAAAACAAAATTCCTTTGAAGTTGCTTTTCTCCTCGTTGAACTGAGCCCTTTGGCCACAGTTTTAATACAGTTTTAGGTACTTACAGTTATTTCCCTCCAAAGCATCGATATGCCGGAGAGAAATCTGGCTCTTAAATCTACTAGCTGCTTGAAGACCCCACAATCCTGGTTTCCTGGCATAGGGTCCCAGTTTAATCCTTGTAGCATGCACCACTCCTGAGATTTGTTGTTGTTATTAGGTGCTGTCGAGTTGGTTTCGACCCATAGTGACCATATGTACGACACAACAGAACACCGCCCAGTCCTACGCCATCCTCACAATTACTGCTACACTTGAGCTCATTGCTCCTGCCACTGTGCCAATCCATCTCACTGGGAGTCTCTCTGTTTTGCTGACCCTCACTTAGCAAGCATGATGTCCTTCTCCAGGGACTGGTCCCTCCTGATAATATGTCCTTAGTATGAGAGATGAAATCTGGTCATCTTGGCTTCTAAGGAACATTCTGGCTGTCCTTCTAACACAGATTGGTTTGTTCTTCTGACAGTTCCTTCCTGCAATACTCTCTTACAATATGCACCTGTGACTCTTGGGAAAGTTTTCGCTGGTCTCAGAGCTGTGCTGAGCAAACATGCAGGACAGGCAGACTAACAAATGAATGAGGGGTGTGGGCTGATGGTTCAGTTCTCCAGCTGTCTCATCCTTTGATGGGAAAACACGGAGGAATATTCTATACCATCTCCCAATAGCCCTGAGTAGAATGGAACCTCAGATGCCCACAACAGCCACCTGTTCATTGTGGATACACCTTGTATAGGCTTCTTTAAAGGTGCCCTGGTGGCACAGTGGTTAAAGCTCTTACAAAGCAATTTTATTGTTAGAGTTCATATTTTGTTTTTGCTATTAAGTACTGTCAAGTCAGTTCAGATTCATAGCGACCATATATAGAGTTTCCAGATAGCAGTCAGTGGGTTTGAACTGCTGACCTTGTGATTTGGAGCACAGTGTTAACCCTACAGCACCACACCAGGAGTCCAGTGTTCACATAGTCTAAGAAATACTACATTTAATTCATTTACAACTACCGCTAACTAAAAGTGGTTCAAACCCACCAGCCACTCCTCAGGAGAAAGATGTGGCCGTCTGCTTCTGTAAAGAAAGCCTATGAAAATTCAACAACTCTACCCCTACGGTCGGGTAGCTGTGATTCCGAATCCACCCCACAGCAATGGGTTTATTGGCTTCCTTCCCTTTGATCTCACTTCTTCATTTCCTTGTCAGGAACACCTCCCAGATTCATTTAAAAATCAAAAATAGCTGTAGATTCACTGCAACCCACATGTGTCAGGAGTAGAACTGGACTCTGCTGGATTCTCAAAGACTGATTTTGCAAAAGCAGATCACCGGGGCTTTCTTCTGACATACCTCTGGGTGGACTTTTGGCTAGCAGCTGAGCGAGTTAGTCATTTGCATTGCTATGGACTCCTTCTAAATGAACTACTCTGCTTCTACTCTAATCCTAACCTCATGGTTGTTTCGGATAAAATTCAGTCAAAGACACTCATGAGTCCAGACATTCCATTCCCAGTCACACCTCATCTAGAAGGAAAATGTGGCTGCTGCCTTCGTTGTTGTTCAGCTCTTTCTAGCAGCCTGCTCCACTTCTCCTTCTAGCTAGGGGGCAGCCTGAGCCCATGAGCTCAGGGGAAGAGATCTGGCCTCAGCTTCTCCTCAGGAGGGTCTCAAGCAGCTACTTCCAGTGGATTAACACTGACTGAGAATTGGGATCTCTCTGAGGACTCTGTTCAAACATGACAGTGACAAGAGAGAGGCAAGCAGAGCTCTTCCAGAAGACAGGGAGGGGTGGGAATTTGGGGTGTGACCATGAGGAAGGAGGAGCTGCTCGTGAGCTCTGACCAGCCCACAGCTTTCCTCCTTCACAAGGCAAGTCTCAGGAGTAGTATCTTCCTCCAGGGGAAGGCTCGTCTTTGAATTCACAGGCTTGTGAACAGAAAGCAAGGGAGGGGACTCTTGGCTCTCCCACCTGCCTGGGTGATGGGCCAGGAGAACTTTCCAGGTTGTCACAAGGCCCGAGGGTCTCCAGGCTTCAGGAGAGTTGTGCAACTGAGCAGGAAGGCAGGCTCACCTTGGCCTCCCCCAGCTGCTGGGAAGGGAGGAAATCCCTGGTGCCTGAGTGTGCCGGGGTAGGCAGGGTGTGAACCAGCTCTGAGGCCTGAGGGCAGGGCGGGGCCTCAGAGATAAGCTGATCCTATGCAGTGAGGAATCCTGTGTGCCATTGTTCAGCACCAAGGTAAATTACTTCCTCTGAGTAGGGTAAGGGGAGTGGGCACCCTGCTCCCCATCCTGGGAGCGGGTGCATCCCCCAGGCAGGTGTGCTGCTCCTTGCTCTTTGGTTCCCAGCTGTTCACATTGGGAAGAATCCGACACCAGGAACAGGCTAGCATGAGCCGTTCAAGGCATATGGGCAAGATCCGGAAACGCCTGGAAGAGGTCAAGAACCAGTGGGCCCGGCCAGCCAGGGCAGACCTGAATGACAATGAAAGTGCCCGGCTGGCCACAGATGCCCTCTTGGATGGTGGTCCTGAGGCCTACAGGCGGGCTCTCAGCCAGGAAGGTGAGGTGGACTTCCTGTCCTCAGAGGAGACCCAGTACATTCAGGCCCAGGCCAAGGAGCCCCCCTGCATCCCAGAGCCCTCCAGAGGGAGCGAGGCAGGTCTCAGAGGACAGGACTCAGCCTCCCTGCAGTCGGGTACCTATTTCCCTGTGTCCTCCGAGGACAGTGAGCCAGCCCTGCTGCACACCTGGGCTTTGGCCGAGAAGCCTTACCTGAAGGAGAAGTCCAGTGCCACCGTGTACTTGCAGACAGACAAGCACAACAACATCAGGGACCTGGTGCGACGCTGCATCACCCGGACCAGCCAGGTAGCCATGGGTCTCCTTGGAGATTCTTCATTAGGAGTTGGATGGGGCTGGTGGAGGAGAGAGAAGGCGTTCTGCTGTATGGATGAAGGTCTAGTTGATGGGGTTTAGGATGAAGTTGAAGATGCTGCACTCTGCCTTTCTGGGATTCCTGACTTCCTGACCCCACCTGTCTGCTGGGTCCAAGCCACCCTCATCTATCCCTGGAACTCCTGTAATCACTTCCTGTCAGTCTTTTATCTCCATCCCCTACTACCGTGCTGCAAGGAGTGTTTTTTCTATACTACATATCTAACTTTTCCCCTTCCCTGTTTAGAGTCTTCAATGGCTCCCAGTTGCCTGTGATAGGAAAAGCAAATTCCCTAGCAGGGGCTCACAACCTCTCCAGCTCCTCTCTCCTACCTCCTTTCTGTAGGTCCGGAACCACTGGGTTCTGTCTTAATGTGCTTACATGTGCTGCCCTCTCTGCCTGGGACCCTCTAATCTTCCCTGCTTTTCACCTGAGTACTTCCTACCTGGAAGACGCAGGTTGGTTTTCCATGTGAGACACCCAGGTTTGATTCCCACCTATGCACCTCATGCCCAGCCCCCCATCTATCAGTGGGTGGCTTCAGCAGTCAGACTTCAGCAGAACCTCCAGATTAAGACAGACCAGGAAGAAAGACCTGGTGATTTACTTCAGAAAATCAGTTCATTAAAAAACTCCAGCTAAGATTATTTTGTTAAACTTAAAAGAACTCATAAAAAAACATGCTGATACATAAACTCTTTTTTTTTTTTTTTGGCTAGAATCTCAGTCTTCTGATGAAATGCCCTCCCAAATCAATCCTATCTGAAACCTTAAGCCAAACCAATTGCTGTTGAGTTGTGTATGGCTCAGGCAATTCCAGATACATCAGAGTACAGCTGTTTCCCAATGGTTGACTTTTCAAATGCAGATCACCAGGTCTTTCTTCTGAGGTACCTGGGAGTGGACTCGAGCCTCCAACCTTTTAATTAGCAGCTGAGCATGTGAACTGTTTGTACCACCTAGAGATTCCATGTGAAATCTTAAGGTTCTGGGGGGAAAAAAACCCCACTAGGACTAGGTGGCTGCATGTGGAAGCAGGGAGAGAGCAGAGTTCTGGAAAATCCCAGGTGGGCAATAAGTGGAACGTGGCATTTCCTACCACTGCTTTAGAGCAGTATTTTGAGTTTCCATGGGGGACGGTGGTGGAGACTGAAGAGGGTCCAGTAGCATTGCCGGAGCAACCTCAGTGAGCCTCTTGTCCTCGTCCCCAGACCTCAGGTTCCTGGTGGAGTTAAGATTTCTTTCAGTTTCTAAAGGCCTGTTGTACTCTCACTCCCTGTGTTCAATGCTCTCCCTCGAGGTGGATACCACCAGAATTCTCAGCCACGGCTGAAGCCCTGGGACAAAGCTGGGCTTGTGAAATGCAATCCCCCCAAGGCTGGCCCTCTCCCTCCCCACTCCTCTCCTAGGCTAAATTGCTCATTATCTTTTTTTCAACCAACATAGCATTTGTGAATTTGAGATAACATTTACCAATCTGAAGACTATCTAAATGTAAGAATTTCCAGCTCCTCTTAGCAGATAGAAGACCTGGTTCTCCAGGTGTTGAGTGGCACCCACCCCTATGGTCCTGGCCCTTTGCTGCTGTCCTTACTGCTCTCTGTTGTCCCAGGTCACCAGGGGATTCACCCATTTGGTTGCTGCCAGGCTCCTCCATGCACACTCAGCACCATACCTGTGTGGACACTGACTGTGTCCTCCCCAGCACCTTTCACCACATCAGTCTCTGCCTCTAATAAGGGATCCCTGGGTCTCCAACCTCCATCCTTTCAGCTGTCAGCCAAGCCCATTAACTATTTGCACCATCCACAGACGTCAAGAAAGAATAAACGAACAAACAACAAACCAGTTGTCATCCAGTAGATTCTGAATCCTGGTAACCCCATGCATTTCAGGGTAGAACTACCTTTCACAGGATTTTCAGTGAGTGCCGTCTTTCAAAGAGTTGGTGGTTCAAGTCTACGTAGAAGTATCTCAGGAGAAAGGACTGAGATCTACTTAAAACAGTAACAATAAAAAAATCCAGTCATTGAAAACCTGGTGGAGCACAATTCTATTCTGACACACATGGTGTTGCCATGAGTTCCAATCGACTCAGCAGCAGCTGGTTTTGTCCCCTCCAAGGAGTCCTGGTGTGGCATTATAGGATAAGCACTGCGAGGTCAGCAGTTCAAACCCACTTGATTCATTCCCTTGGAAACAGGATCACTATGAGTCAGAACCCAATCAAAGGCACTTAACAACGACATTCCCTCTAAGGAGTCCTGGTGTGGTGCCGTAAGATAAGTGCTGGACCTCCAACTCAGTTTGAACCCCAAGGTCAGTAGTTCAAACTCACCAGCCGCTCCTCAGAAACCCTATACAGAGTTGCTATGAGTTGGAACTGATTGGGTGGCACTTAACAACAACATTCCCTCTAAGGAGTCCTGCTGTGGCATTATAGAATAAACACTGGACTGCTAACTGCAAGGTCAGCAGTTCAAGCCCACTTGATCTCTTCCTTTGGAAACAGGGTTGAAGGCACTTAACAACAACAGTTGCGTTGTTGAAGGCAGCATGTCCCTTCAGGGGTCAAAGAAGAGTGTTACAAAGCAGTTATGGGCCTAGAATTAATGCGGCCTGGAGACAGTTCCAACAAGAAGCCAACAAGATAAACTTAGCCATCAGAATACTGGGCTACTTCCAAACCTGCCTTCCCCCTTTGCTGTTCAATAAACCACCTGCTCGGCAGCCCTGCCACAAGGAGACAAGGGACTCACTGGAGCAGAGCCAGAAAGATTTACTGACCCATTCGGAAGGACCGGGAACAGCAGGCATTTATCTTTCAGCAAATAGAGCCTCAGTTGGTTTTGTGCTGTAAGTTTAGATGTGTGTGAAAACGTAATTGTACAACAACAGGGACATGGTTCAAGTGGATCGTGGGTGTACTGCATTCAGTAGTGTTCCCCAAAATCATATGCACCCAGACCTCTGTCTGGATGTGAATTTATTTTGAAACAAGGTTTTTGCAGATGTAATTAGTCAAGAGTGTGGTGTGTTTGCGATGGAACCAAGCGAGCGTGGGGCCTTGCTTGCTGAAAGTGAAGAGGACTTGAAACATTTACTGATGAAGATCAAAGAGCACAGCCTTCAGTATGGATTGCATCTCAATGTCAGGAAAACAAAAATCCTCACCACTGGACCAATAAACAGCATTCTTATCAATAGAGAAGAGATTGAAGTTGTCAAGGACTTCATTCTTCTTGGATCAACTATCAACACTCGTGGAAGCAGCAGTCAAGAGACCAGACGACGTATTGCATTGGGCAAATCTGCTGCACAGGAACTTTTTAGAGTATTGAAGAGCAGAGATGTCAGCTTGAGGACTAAGGTGCGCCTGACCCAGGCCATGGTGTTTTCAATAACCTCATATGGATGTGAAAGCTGGACAGTGAATAAGGAAGATCATAGAAGAATTGATGCCTTTGAGTTGTGGTGTTGGAGGAGAATACTGAAAGTGCCATGGACTGCCAAAAGAATCAATAGATCTGTTTTGGAAGAAGTGCAGCCATAGTGCTCCTTGGAGGCCAGGATGGCTGAGCTTCGTCTCTCATACTTTGGACATATTGTCAGGAGCAAACAGTCGCTGGAGAAGGATGTCATGCTGGGTAAGATGGAGGGTCAGAGAAGAAGAGGAAGACCCCATCAAGATGGATCGGCCAGGTGGCATCATTGATGGCGTCAAGTGTGGCAGTGGTAGTGAGGTTGGCCCAGGATCGGACATTTTTTCGTTCTACTGTGCATGCGGTCGCTATGAGTCGGTTCCTACTCGATGGCACCTGACAACAACAACAACAATTAGTCAAGGTTCAGGAGTGGGGTGGGTCCTAAGAGAGCAGATGTCCTGAGATGGAGAGACACCGGGGAGATGCCTTGTGAATATGGAAGCAGAGTGGAGCGGCTCATCTGTGAGCCAACATCTGATCAACCAAGCATCTGCTCCTCCTTCTTCTGCCAACAGCACCCAATCTCACTTCAAGACATCTTCACTTCTCTACTCTGTGTAATTTGGGTAGATTTTTGCCATCCCTGGGGTAGAGTGGAGCCTGGTCAGTGAAAATCCTACCACAGAGATTGATCTAGGGGTCTTGGTCATTCTAATGAGAGTCCGTCCCAGGGCTTTTGCTGGGACTCTTGGGAAAATCAGGCATCCCTTTTCGAGGGTATTTAGCTGGCAGGACCTAAGCTGGCAGCCGTCTTGTCACCCTTTGGGGAGAGATGCCTGAGAATTGTATTTCTCTCCACTGAGGCGGCCAAGTGCCGCCCCTTGTTCCTTTTGTTCCCTCGCCTTCTCTCTCTAGCCTTTCTCCTTTTCCCTCTCTGTCCTCCCCAGTCCACAGGCTTAATGGTTAGTTGCTGTTGAGTTGGCTCCGAGTCATGGAGACTTGAGTCCTGCGCCATCCTCACAGCTGTTCATGAGTTTGAGCCTCTACGTCAGTCCTTCTCATGGACTGTTGTTTGTTGTTGTTAAGTGCCGTAGAGTCAGTTCCGACTCATAGCAACCCTGTATAGGATTTCCAAGGAGCGGCTGCTGAGTTTGAACTGCTGACCTTGCGGTCTAGCACATTATTCTGCAGCGTGACACCAGGACCCCTCTCACGGATGGTTGGTTGGTTGGTTGGTTATGTGCTGTGGAGATGGTCACCCTCAATTCTCAATTTCACTGATTCTACCAAACACAATATCCTTTTTTTTTTTTCTTAGTTAAGAGGAAGTTTTTATTAACAAAAAAAGGTGTCCTTAGTCCACATAACTTACGCTTTTAATATCAAATAATTGATAAGTGTTGAATCTAGTCTATTCCAGTTTTGTCCTCCTAATAAATGCTGTTGCTTTCAGTATATTTCTTTTTAACAAGTAAATGCGATTGAATTATAGGTATTTTAAAATGATAACTATTTTCGAAGTCTTTTATCATTAGGGCAGGACACCTTGTTCAGAATAAGCCTAATTTACAGAAACGACACAAGGCAACATTTTAATCAAAGATCAGTATTTAGCCATGGTTAGTTTGACTGCAATGTTACTTCAGTTGCAGAAACCATCTCTGGTTACAAAAAATAATCAGAAATCTTATTAGATTTAACCTGCTGTTTTATGGATGTCCTAATAAGTATTAAGCTAAACAATATTTTAAGTAGGAAAAAAACAGTAATTTTTAAATAGGTGGCACAATGTCCTTTTACTAATGATGACTTAGGTGTAGAGACCAAAGAACATGTACTGAGGCTAGAGAGAAGGGGTGGGCACATCTCCGCTCAACCCTTGCTTCCCTTCCTTGACCTCTGTCCTGGCAGACCCCTCCCACCATCCTCTCCTAATCTCCCATCACAGCAGCCCCCCAGTGCCCAGACCCACTGGCCCTCAGGAAGTGTGGCTAAAGCCAGTTAGCACCTGGCCCTGACTGGTCACCAACCTCTCCGCCCTGATCAGGTCCTGGCTATCCTCATGGACGTGTTTACGGATGCTGAGATCTTCTGTGACATTCTAGAGGCGGCCAACAAGCGCGGGGTGTTCGTCTGTGTGCTCCTGGACCAGGGAGCCGTGAAGCTTTTCCAGGAGATGTGTGACAAAGTACAGATCTCTGACAGTCACCTCAAGGTAAGGCCCTCACAGTATTTTGTACTAGGATAGAACACGTGATCTCCCCCTCGACGGTGTAACACAATCGAGGTTGGCTTCTTGCTCAGAGTCCTCTTCCATCTTGTAGTAATAGTGTAAGGGATACGTGGTCTTCAAATTGCAGTGAGAGGGAAGAGTAGGAAAGGGGATTCCACAGGATGTTTTAGGACCTGGCCCAGAAGGAGTTCTCATCACTTCCTCCCATCTCCCATAGACCAGAGAGGTGAGCTATCACCTGGAAGCATAGGACAGGAGAAGTGTAAAGGGGCAGATGGGAACCTGGTGAGCAACCATCTTGGTCACACTCTCTCTTTCTCCTCTCAGCAGGGAGGGCCAGGGGATGCATTTCACAGGGGAGGACAACACCTGGGTCTTTTTGATGTGTGTTTCAACCTCCTTGTCCTGAACAGGAATACCTCCCTCTCCTGTCAGGGAGAAAACGTATCCAGACATAAGGTTCATTTAGTTCCATCAAATTTAGGATGTGGCAGCTAATGCAAGGTTAAATATAAAACCACCCGGAGCTCTTAGGAGTAGGCCCTGCAGAACAGATAGGGCCAGTGCTTTAGAGTTCCTTCTAAGGACTCCTCTGTCTCAGGTAGGTAGGACCCTTCCTCCTCTTCACTTCCAGACTAGAATGAAACCTCCTCCATTCTCTTTCTCCCTTGATGTGAACTAGGATAGAGCTGAGTTCAGGGCTCCCTCCTGGTTCCCAGGCCTCAGGACCTCTGGCTATAGGATCTACTCGATATTACCTGGGTCACACCTCTTGGCACAAGGCCACATGGGAGTCAGTGCAGGGCGTGCCTTTATGAGCAGTTCCTCCTGAGATCTCACAGAGCTGATGGAGAGGTCAGCGGGGAGCTGCTAGAGGTGTTGGCAATGGATGTGCCCATCGGGGGATGCAGGCAACATTCCACCACCCTTCTCTGCCTTGATGTGGCAGAGATATTCACACAGCTCACCTCTTAGCCTTCCAAGGGGTTCCAGCCCCAGAGCTGGGCAGCAGGAACTGTCAGGGAGGAGGACACATGGAGACATGATTTGGGTTGTGAACCCACCTTCTCTTAGACCGAACCATCCAGTGTCCATTGGACCCTTCTTGGAACTGTTTATCTGGATGCAACAGGCTTTCCCATTGTCCAGCTCGTGGCCAGGAACTGGCTCCGACGTAGCTATCAGAGCTCTTGTGGTCCCGGGGACCTTCACTGAGGACTCCATGGCATCAAGTCTTTGTTGTGTTGTTATTTGCTACCTTGTCTGAGTTCTAACCTCCCTCCATTTTCTTTCTTTCTTTTTTCATTACCCAAATAATTCCAAGACAATGAAGACAATCTAGAAAATTCAGGCCTTGGGACTATAGAGTCGGCTTGGTATTACCTGGGTCATGAAGCCATAGCGTTCACAACCTAGAGTCCTCTGCCCCGAAGTGAGGGTGAGGTCACACAGTTTATGGACAGGTGTTGGCCATAATGACCTGTAATCCCACCAACCAGAGATAACCCCTCTTACATCTTGGTGAACATCCTTCCAGGCTTTTCCCCATACAAGTGTCTATGTATAAACACATGCTTTGTGACTTTCCACCCATAGAACATCTCCATCCGGAGCGTACAAGGAGAGGTGTACTGTGCCAAGTCAGGCAGGAAATTCGCCGGCCAAATCCGGGAGAAGTTCATCATCTCAGACTGGAGATACGTGCTGTCCGGATCATACAGGTGTGTACCAGATTTCCTATCCTCACACGGCTTCCCTGAGTGAGGCCCAGGGCTCAGCATCAGAACGATCAGTCCCCATCACCCACAGCCCCCCACCAGAGCAGTACTGTCACATAGAGATTCTAGGGGTCAGACCCGTCTGAGCCAAAGAGAGAAACCTGGGAACTTGTGAGTGGATGTTTCATTTCCTTTGAACACTGCAATAAGACCTACGATCACCTCTCCCTTCTCAGATCTCCGGGTGGGATTATTGAAGCCACACAACTTGTTTTGTGGGTATGTGCGCATGCTCCATTTAATTTTAATTTTTTTTTAAATTCTTTTACAGCTTTACTGAGATTTAATTCACATACTACCTTATTTGCCCACTTAAAGTGTACATTCACAGCTTTACAACCATCACCACAATCAATTTGAGAACATTTTCATCATCCTCAAAAGGAACCCTGGACGCCCCATTTACTGCCACAACCATCACTGCCCCTAGCCATTGGTAACCATGACTCTCTGTCTGTCTCATCTTTGAACAAAACCAAATTAACCTAAAAGCTGTCTTATATTATGCTTTTCCCAACAAGACTAAGATTTTGAGTTCATTATGAATCTCCACTCTGAGCAGCTGGTTCTTCAGCTCTCTGGACCTATTTCCTCATCAGGAAAAAAAGAAAGACCAATATACTAATACTTTTTTATGTTGTGAGAATTTAGTACAATAGCAACTGGTGACCAATATGTTGTTGTTGTTATGTGCTGTGGAGTCAGTTCCGACTCATAGTGACCCTGTACAGAGTTTCCGAGGCTGTAAATCTTTATGGGAGCAGAAAGCCTCATCTTTCTCCCACAGAATCACCGATAGTTTCGAACTGCTAACCTTGAGGTTGGCAGCCCAACTCGTAACCACTATGCTACCAGAGCTCCTTGGAGCCCAATATACACATGCAAAAAAAAAAAAAAAAATCACTTAATAGTGTATTATGAAGTCCTGGTGTGGTGCTGTAGGGTAAGCACTGGACTTCTAACTGCAAGATTGTTATTCCTTTGAAACCCTATACAGCAGGGGTGGGGAACGTCTGGCCCGCGGGCCATATAAGGTCTGTGAAATCATTTGGTCTAGCCCTGCCAAAGCAACCACAATTCCAGTCATCATATTGTTGTGGTTGTGTCATTGAGTTGACTTTGACTAATAGCGACCCTGTCTAGGGTTTCCGAGGAGTGGCTGGTGGGTTTGAGCCACCGACCTTGTGATTCAAACTGACCTTGCGGTCTAGTACATTATCCTGCAGTGCTTAACAGCAAACTGTTGTTGTTAAGCACCATCAAGTCAGTTCCAACTCACTACAATCCTGTATAGGCTTTCCGAAGAATGGCTGGTGAGTTTGAGCCACCAACCTTGCAGTTCAAACAGACCTTGTGGTCAAGAGCTAATCCTACTGCCACACCAGGATTCTTCACCACCAGCACATTGTTGTTGTTGTGAAGTGATGGAGAGTCGGTTCCGACCCATAGCGACCCTGTATAGGGTTTCTGAGGAGCAGCTTGTAAGCTTGAACCGCCGACCTTGCAGTTCAAGTGGCTTTGCAGTCTCATGCATTAACCCACAGCGCCACACCAGAACTCCACCAGCACAGTAGAGGTGAGTTAATTACATGTTTGACCAAATATAGCAAGCTAATTTTTAAGTTGATAAGTCTGTATGGCCCACAAATGATGTTATAAGTTTTGGCAGATGAAAGGTTCCCATCCCTGCTACACGAAGTCGCTATGGGTCAAAACTAACTCGAAGGCACTTAACAGCAAAATATGGTTTAAGACGTTAATATTATCTATAACTCCTCATTTATTTTGATAATTATAATTCCAAACAGAGTCAATCTAAAAAGGAGTAGCGAGTTTTCTGAGGGGGGCTGACAATGACCACTCGTACTAACATTCTTACACCTACTATCAGTTTGTTCTATAAAACAGTTTGACCTCGCTTTTCAAGGAGTTCCTGTGAATTAGAAATGAGACATCTTTCCAGTAATAAGTATAGTCCCTTCATTGTTTGTGAAGCATTATTCCACCTTTCTTGAGTTTATAAAAGGGAAAGTGCTAGAGAAAACCCCCAGCATGAAGAATCTTGTCCTGAAATGTCCCCCACCCCATAGGTGACTATCATGCAAGGTGGAGAGATGGCAGGGGCAGAAGGCAGCTGACTAACATTGTGGATCAAGGTGTCAACAGACCTTTAGGATAGAATCTTCATGACAACACTTTGAGGCGGGCACTATTCTTCCAATTTACAGATATGGAAACTGAGGTCAGGCCATTGGTCCAGGTTCATCAGCTCCCTTTAGTCCAAAAAAAAAAAATCCAGACTTAGGGAGAGGCTTTGCTCAGAAAGAAAGATGATTGCAAGCAGGGAGGCACTCTGACAAAGGGGAAGGGGCCTATTGCAACACCAGATGAGCAAGAGTGAGACAAAATGGGTTTTCCTTTTACAAGGACATGAGTAAACAAGTTAGAAAGACCCAGGTGTGAGGAACGGGATGTAAGGATGACTTCACCGGATAGTAAATCAGAAAGCTTTCTGCTGAGGTCGGCCTGTTCCTGTAAGGGAGGGGACCTGACGGAAGGGAAGGAGGTTGGCTCTGGCTGGGGCAGAGGGTGTAAAGTTCAGGGGATTGAGGGAAGAAGAGAAACTTAACTAAAATTTGGTTCACAAGCACTTTGTTTCTGATCAGTGAGCAAGGACAAGATGTTCAACTAATTGTCTATAAGGCACAGAAGGAGAACTTGGGGGTCTAACCGTGTCCTGGGTAAACAGAGCATCATGAGTCTTATCAAAGTCATATGAGAATGGTGGTTATTTGTAGTAAAGCTGGTTTCTGGAACACTTAACAACAGCTGGCTTCCAGGTAAAATTGCCAGCTGCTCGGGTCTCCAGCCCCCTGTGTCTGGCAGAGGCTGGGCTGAGCTTGTCTTCCTGCTATGAGGAGGCAGCAGGAGTTGGGTGTATGGATGGACATGCAGGGCTACTTGAAGAGAACAAACATACAGAGTGCACTGAGGTGGGTAAGGATCTGGAAATCATGTGACCAGCAATCAGGACTTGTTGTGTAACTGTAGTAGTCAAGACAATGGTGTTGGAGAAAGGACAGGACAGACAGATCAACAAATGAAATGGGGCAGTAAGTCCAGACGCAGACCCACACATGCTAGGGTACTTCAAAGAAGTGGGGAGAAGAGAAGCTAAAACTATCTCCACTGGAAACATGGGGGTCCTGTCTCACACATGCTCAAAGATCAATCCCAGAGACTGACACTGATGGTTGCCATCGGATCCCGATTCACACCAACCGCACAGGGTCTCCGAGGCTATGCCCAAGCCCTGCCTTTAACCCCAACCTTTGAGAAGCAGGTTGCCAGGTCTGACTCCTGAGGCGTCACTGGGAAGGTTCAAATGGCCAACCTTTCAGCTAGTTCTTAAGTGCTTAACCATTTGCAATACCCAATGTTGTTATGGTTAAATGCCGTGAGTTTGTTCCAATTCATAGCAACCCTATATAGGGTTTCCGAGGAGCGACTGGTGGGTTTAAACCACTACCTTGCAGTTCAAACTGACTTTGAGATCCAGTGCTCACCAAGACTTGCTGCTGCCATTGCCTTGAAGTGCTGTCAAGTTGGTTCCGACTCATAGCAACTTTGTATAGGGTTTCCAAGGAGCAGCTGGTGAGTTTGAACCACCAACCGTGTGATTCAAAACAACCTTTCGGTCCAGTGTTTATCAAAACAAACTTTAAAACTCCTAGTAGAAAAAGGAGATTAATGTCACTGAATTACACACATAAAAATTGTTGAATTGGCAAATGTTTTGTTTATATATATTTTTACCACAATCAAAGAAAATATAGATGAATATCTTATCAACATTAAGATAGGGAAGGATTTCTTAAACAAAATGCAAAACACGTTGGTTATAAATGATTGCTAAATGTGACTATATTAAAATTAAGAAGTTTGGTTCGTCAAAACACATCCTAAAGCAAGTAACAAAACAGGTTATGAACTGGGAGCAAGTATTCAGGACATTTACCCCACGCAAGGATTAATGTCAAGAATCCTGAAGAACTCCTACGAACCAGAGGAATGACACACCAAACAAACAGGTGTTTTACCAGGATGAGAGACATGGAGCCGAACAGCACACAGAGAGATGTTCAACTTCACTAGCGATCAAAGAAACGCAAATCAAGGCTAGAATGAGTTACCATGTTGCAACTTTCCAACTGGCAACATTGGAGGGGAAAACATTTTTTTAATGCTGAAAATGCCAAATGTTGGATTTATAGTATCTTCTCTACATTGCAGATGGGATTGTGTAATGACTTTGGAAAGAGTTTGGCATTTCCTCTTAAAGCTGAGTATTTACCTACTTTACAATCCAATGATTCCACACCTTAGAAATGAAACAGCAGAGGACATAGATAAGGATGATCTTAGCAGCAGTGTTCACAGCAGCAAAACCATGAAAACAGCCTAAATGTCAATTAGTGGAAGAACAGGTGAATAAACCATGATCTATCCATGCAATGGAATATTACACAATAGTCAAAGATGAATGAGGTGCAACAACGTGGAGAAAACTTGATGTTGTATTCTCTTAAGTCAACTCTGACTTACAATGACCCTAGATGACACAGTGGTAGGTTTAAACCGCAAGACTGGCAGTTCAACTCCACCAGCTGCTCCTCAGAAACCCTGTGCAGGGTCACTATGAATCGGAACTGACTTGACGGCACTTAACAACAACAACA